AAATAGTGGTGTGTGTGTTCGGTCATCCAATGGTGGTAGTTCAAAAGATGATTTTTATGGCTTGTTGGATGAAATCATGGAGATAGAGTACCCCAGACCATTAATACGGATTGTGTTATTTAAGTGGATGTGGTTCGACCCCGTCAAAGGAATGAAGGTGCATACGAAGTTTAATTTGGTTGAAATAAATCACAAGAAAATGTATATGAAATATGAACCATTTGTGTTGGCATAACAAGCAATTCAAGTATATTATGCATCATATCCTAGTTTGAAACGTGACAAAGCTGATTGGTAGGCTGTATGTAAAACCAAAGCATGAAGAAAAATCGAGGAATACTGGAAGGATACAACATATCAACAAGAGGAAGTTTGTAACACGGTTCAAATTGAGGAATATAACATTTCAACTCTACAAGATCCATGTGGAGCAATGATAGATGTAGATCTAACTGAAATTCGCGAATCAAATTTAGAAGGTGTTGCAAAATCTGATTTTGAGACAGAGGATGATGATGATGATGATGATGACGACGATGATGCTCATGAAGAAGATCAAGATCAAGAGGAAGACGAAGGTGAAGAAGATGAAGATTTAGATTTTTGAGACTTTTTACTAATTATGTCGTAATTATCATTATTATTATTACGACAAGAGTTTATTGTTGTTGTCATATTTATTAGGGCAAAAGAACACTACAAGTGCCATAACTTGTGTACGGCGCTCACTTTGATGCCATAAGTTTTTTTGGATCACTTTAGTGCTAAAATTTTTGAAAAACGATCACTTAAGTGCTAAAATTTTTTAAAAAACGATCACTTAAGTGCCAACTCCGGTGCCGTACACAATTTTTCGCCGGAAATCCGACGTGGCATTTTTTTTATTAATTTCGAAGCCGACGTGGCTCGTCGGAGATTGGCACTTAAGTGATCGTTTTCAAAAATTTTAGCACTTAAATGATCGTTTTTAAAAATTTTAGCACTTAAGTGATCGTTTTTCAAAAATTTTAGCATCGAAGTGATCCAAAAAAAACTTATGACACTTAAGAGATCGTTTTTCCTCCGACTTGGCACCAAAGTGATCCGAAAAAAAGTTATGGCACCAAAGTGATCTCCGTACACAAGTTATGGCACTTATAGTGTCCTTTTTCCTATTTATTAGTATTGTTGTTGTCGTAATTATTAGTATTGTTGTTGTTGTTGTTGTTGTTATATTATTATTATTGTTATTATTATTATTATTATAATTATTATTGTTGTTGTTGTTGATTATTATTATTGCTATTATTGTTACTGAAACGTTATTGTCGGGAAAAAAAATGAATAAGACATGTGTGGGCATTTTTTCAAATTAATAGCTAAATCCGTGGCAAATTTGCCACGGATTTAGCCACGAATTTGAAATATATGCTAGTAGAAATGAAATTCGTGGCTAAATCCGTGGCAAATTTGCCACGAATTTAGCCACGAATTTGAAAAAAAATGAATTAGGTGTGTATGGCATTTTTTTTCAAATTCGTGGCTAAATCCGTGGCAAATTTGCCATGGATTTAGCCAGGAAATTGAAAATAGGCTAGTAGAAATGAAATTCGTGGCTAAATCCGAATTTGAAAAAAAATGAATTAGGCGTGTGTGGGCAAGTTTTTTGAAATTCGTGGCTAAATCCGTGGCAAATTTACCACGGATTTAGCCAAGAATTTGAAAAAAATGAATTAGGCGTGTGTGGGCAAGTTTGCCACGGATTTAGCCACGAATTTGAAAAAAAATGAATTAGGTGTGTGTGGGCATTTTTTTTCAAATTCGTGGCTAAATCCGTGGCAAATTTGCCACGGATTTAGCCACGAATTTGAAAAAAAAATGAATTAGGTGTGTGTGGGCATTTTTTTAAAAATTCGTGGGTAATTTGCCACGGATTTAGCCACGAATTTCATTTTTACTACCCTTTAATGAAATTTGTGGCTAAATCCGTGGCAAATTTGCCACGGATTTATCAACGAATTTGAAAAAAAATGCCCACACACGCCTAAGTCATTTTTTTTCAACTTCGTAGCTAAATCCGTGGCAAATTTGCCACGGATTTAGCCACGAATTTCATTTTTACTACCTTTTAATGAAATTCGTGGCTAAATCCGTGGCAAATTTGCCACGGATTTAGCTTATTTAATCGAATTTGAAAAAAAAATGAATTAGGGGTGTGTGGGCATTTTTTTTCAAATTAGTGTTCTTATGATTTAGCCATGAATTTCATTAAAGGCTAGTAAAAATGAAATTCGTGGCTAAATCCGTGGCAAATTAGCCACGGATTTGAAATTTTTTTTTTTTCAAATCCGTGGCTAATTTGCCACGGATTTAGCCACGAATTTCATTAAAGGCTAGTAAAAATGAAATTCGTGGCTAAATCCATGGCTTAGGCGTGTGTGGGCATTTTTTTTCAAATTCGTGGCTAAGCCACGGAAAAAATATTAGGGTTTGCTGCGGCAATTTTATATTTTGATTCGAATTTGCCGCAACAAAATTAAAATTCGTGGCTAATATCGTGGTAAATTAGCCACGGATTAAAATTTGTGGCTAATGTGCGACGGAATTAGCCACGAATTTGAATCCGTGGCTAATTTGCCATGATATTAGCCATGACTTTTAATCCGTGGCTAATTTCGGCGGAAATTAGCAAAACGGCGTCGTCTTCATTTGCGGGTAGAATTTAGGGTTTCTTCTCTGTCTCGATCGAACAATTTAGGGTTTTCTTCTCTTGAACCTCTCCCTCTTCTCTCTCTCTCTCTCTCTCTCTCTCTCTCTCTCTCTCTCTCTCTCTCTCTCTCTCTCTCTCTCAATCGAACGATTCTCGGCAACCTTCGGCGTTCTTTGGCGTTCTTCGGCGCGATTCTCGGCGTTGTTCGGCGCCGGATGCTGGGAAGCACGAGGACACCCAGCGCGAGGATCGTCGTCCGAGAGTTTTAGAGGTACGTTCTCTAAATTTTTTTGTGGACGTTTGCTTATGCTTCTGCTTCTGTTGTTTGTGTTGGGTCTGCTGTTTTTGCTTCTGTTGGACGACTTAGCTTGGGTCTGCTGTTGGACGTTGGGTCTACTGTTGGACAACAGAACCATTGTGTTGGGTCTGCTGTTGGATGTTGGGCGAAACAAATTGGGTCTGTTTCGCCCACGAATTTCATTTTGTTCGTGGGCAAAACAGAATGGTTCTGTTTCGCCCATGAATTTGATTTTGTTCGTGGGTGAAACAGAATGGTTTTGTTTCGCCCACGAATTTCATTATGTTCGTGAGCGAAACAGAAAGCCCACGAAACAGAATCAAATTCCTCAGATTTAGGTTGAAATTTGGTCGGATTTAGGTTGAAATTTGATCGGAATGAGCTGAAATTTGGTCGGATTTGGGTTGAAATTCGTTTGAAATTTGGTCGGAATGAGGTGAAATGTGGTCGGAATGAGCTGAAATTTGGTCGGTCAAGTGGAAACGGCCCTCTGATCCAAAATCACTCCCTTTGGCTATGACATAAGTCGTTTTTTGATGTTTCGGAGTCGTTTACATGGGTTTTTGAGCAAAAAACCATTCTGGATGAACAGTGATTTCAGTTCGATTTGAGTTTTTTTGGGCGTTTCGGAGTTGTTTCATTATTATTTTATTTATATCTAGGTTTGAATATTGAAACCAATAAAAAATAGGCTATAATGTGGGTCGTTTCGTGTAGGTTTGTTGTAATAGGTGGGGCGGACCGCGATTTGGGCGGATACTAGAAAGGGAAGTCAGGGAAGGCCGGCCTTTTGATTTTTGGCGAATAGTGTGTGGTATGTCCTCTTTCTGGATCTTGAGTTCAAGGTGTTGTTGCTGGAGGTACGGCTGGTGTTGTTGTTGAAGCAGCACTTTACCCAATTGACACCATTAAAACTAGACTTCAGGCAAGATTAAATCCTTATGTGTTCAACCAATCCTTTTGTTTGCCTGTCCTCCAATTGTCACACTGCACAACCTTCGAGTGTAAACCGGTAGTTGGGAAGTCTGTTGCAACAAGTAGTGTTGTTTAGCTCTTATTCTTGCAACTCTAGTGGCTGGAAGTTAATTTTCTTTTGTTTTGATGAATATTGGGTTGTTTGCTGCCACCGACCAATTCTGTTTGCTGTTTGCTGTTTGCTCCAATTCTGTTTGCTGTTTGCTGGAAGTTAATTGGTGCTGTTTGCTCCAATTCTTTTGATGAATATTGGGCTGCAACTCCCTATTTTACTGTTGTACGACTAGAAATTAAGCTCGTAGATATTTCCGGACAGCTTGCTTTTTATCAGAGGCCAAGTTTATCTCTTGCTCTCAAAAAGAAAATGGTAAGCTTCACGACGTACATCATTATGTGTCCCTAATACATGTTCATATTTTTTAACATATTTGTCTACCCTTCCAACTTGTTAGTATAAACGTGGAGGTCACATGCGTCGTGGTGTAGCTTCACAAAGAAGACCAGGCCCTTCCCCTTCCTCGTCCTCGTCCCCGTCCCTTTCCTCTTCCCCTGCCCTTTCATCTAACCCTTAACCAGTACATGGTGATGGACACATTGGCCCTTCCTCCGACCCTCAAATGCAAACTGAATTTACTTCAGTTCCATCGCCTTCGGTTCCACCTTCTTCTTCAATGCAACACTCGAATGACGAAAAAGATAGCCGATTCATGATATCCCCATTTGGAGATTCGTAAGTACTTCATTTTTTTAAGTATATGTAAATTATTATGGATGTCAATTGAATTGTCCGTATGCTTCACGGATGTTACGTATGTTGACATCGTTATAACCTGTTTGCAAATTCACGGATGCTACGTATGTTGTGAGGAAACTTAATAAAATAATCAATAACTGTTGGATGAGACAGTATAGTAGTTGGACCACCGCTCCAAAAGAAGTAAAAGAATTGTTGTAGAATGAGTTCAAGGTAAGTTTTGTCCTTCTATTTTCTCACAAACTAAGTTCGGTTTAGCATACTGAGTGTACAATTGTTTTTCTATTGATTGCTTGCATCGGAAGTTCAGGTGGGATGAAGCAGAAGAGAAAGAAGTTAGAAGAATTTTTAAGAAGAAAGCCGGTGATCACATGCGAAATGTGATGAATAGAGCAAAGAGAAGTCAAGAAAAGCCGGATTTTATTACAGCTGATAATTGGGCGAAAATTAAGAGAACTTGGGATACCGAAAAGCATAAGCAAATCAGTGAAATAAATAAGATGAATCGAGCTTCTAGTTCTAGTGAAGGGTCTGCCACATATGCTGGGGGCTCTATCAACATCGGGGAGCATAGAAAAAGAATGGTAAGTCTGTTAAATATGTTGTAAGTTAATTCAATGATTACTCATTTATGTTTATATTTTGTAGGCAGATGCATTGGGGACGGAACCGACATTTATAGCTACATTTGAACGCACATTTCAAAAAAAAGATAAGACATGGACTGGCAATCGAGCAAAAGCTATTAAGGTATGTAAGGTTATATTTTGTATTTATATATATGAAGTTTTTTTATTTTCATCTATATTGTTAATGTAGGACAAATATGATGAACTTGTAATGAGCACTGTTGCTAGTGGTGATGGTGATGGTGATGGTGTTGTTGCGTCCGAGCCATCGGTTGATAGTATGGCATTATGGGTGGAGGCATCGGGTGGAATGAGAAGAGGTCAAATATTTGGGATGGGATCCTTGTCAAGGCTATACACAACGCCGGCTGCTGCAACTTCATCCTCCAATGCCGCTTTTTTAAGGAGGACACAACACGAGGAGCAAATGACCCAAGAATTGAACCAAGCTCAAACATTTACTTGTACGAAGGACGAAGAAATAAGAGGAGTGAAACAACATTTGCAATTGATCATGCGACACCTCAACCTCGATCACGATGACGTTCCTCCCGTACCTCCCACTAATCCAAGTAGGTGATGGGCACAATGATGAGCAACACAATGACAATGACATTGCTGATGATGATGCTGATGATGATAATGATCCTTGCTAGTTAAAATTTCCAAACTCGAGGGTAAGCTTGCTTCAGCATTATCTATTTATTTATTTATAGGACAAGTTATTAGTTGTTGCATTTGTTCAATGCACATGTATCGATTCTGTTAAAAGTTCAACAAGCTGTTATAAGTCCAACAACTGTTTTTGCATATGTACATGAGAGACAATGGACTAATCAAGGCGATGCTCGGCTATCTCTCTCCCTTGTTCACGCACGCACGTGCATTCTAGGAAGCGAGTTCTTTGGGATCGAATTACTTGGCATTGATTCTTTGAAGAATCTTTCGAATGATCATGATGCCATATTGTGTTGTTAGCTGTTATTTGTATTACTCGAAATTGTTAAAAGTGAATTTTGCCATGTATGTAATTAGGAATGATTAATGACGGTCTTCCTTTTGGTTTGGCGTCTATTCCAATTTTCGTCTTTGCAAACTAGGCGAGGACTTGACATATTAGAGACCACTTTGGTGGCTTTACAAGATATCACTTTGGATTAGATATTTGACGAGTCGGTTCATGCAGAATTGTGCCCTGGGTTCACTAAGTTAATGCAAGAGGTACTTCTATCATTCTTTATGCTACATGACAATAAGCGTTTGGTTTGCATACATGCCCTCTGGAATTGGTCTTTTGTGTGAGCATAGCCTAATATATTCTTTTTTGAACACCCCTCTTTCTGCTGTTGAATAGATGTGAAAAAATTAAGAGGGGTTAGGAGTTTGATATTGTGATGTTTGCGCTACAGATGGACAGGACTTCGATTCTTGGAGACACTATAGACTACGTGACTACGTGAAAGAACTTCTTGGCAAGATCAACAGTTTGCAACAAGAGAGCGAACTGGATTTGAAGCAGTTGAATTTGTTGGATCCTCTCAAGGATTTTTCATACAAATTTAGTGCTTTGCTCCATTTCTTTCTTTTTTGTGTTTGTTGTTGTCTTGACTGTGATTCTATCAATGTTAAATATAAATTCTATAATTGCTGTTAATTAGATTTCAAATCGAAATTGTCCCTAAACAACATTCGTCGCAGACTTCGTCACTAAATTATTCATTAAAATTCATCGCCAAATTTATTTCGGAACAATATTCGTGGCAAAATTAAAAAAATTTCGTGGCAAATTAGTGACGAATTTTGCCATAAATAAGTTCGTCGCAAAATACTGACAAAAAAAAATTTGGTGGCAAATTAGCCATGAATTTTGCCACGAAATGTGTTCGTGGCAAATTACCCACGAATTTTGCCACGAATAAGTTCATCGCAAAAAACTGACCAAAAAAAAATTGGTGGCAAATTAGCCACGAAATTTGCCACGAAATGTGTTCGTCGCAAATTAGCGATAAATTTTGCCACGAATAATTAGCAACAATTTTTTCCACGAAAAGATTTCGTCGCAATTTCGCAACCAACAAAAAAAAATTTCGAAGAAAATAGCGACGAATTTTGCCACGAATACGGTTCGTGGCAAATTAGCGACGAATTTTGCCACGAATATTTAGCCACGAATTTTGCCACGAATACAGTTCATGGCAAATTAGCGACAAATTTTGCCACGAATATAGTTCGTGGCAAATTAGCCACGAATTTTGCCACGAATATTTAGCGACGAATTTTGCGACAAAATTTTTTTCGTCGCAAATTAGCCACGAATTTTGCCACGAATAATTAGCGACGAATTTTGCGACGAATTTTTTTTCGTCGCAAATTAGCGACGAAAATTGAAATTTTCCGTCGCAAAAATATTAGCGACGAATTTTTTTCCGTCGCTAATTTCGTCGCAAATTCGTTTAGCGACGAGTTTTGCCAAATTTTTCGTGGCAAAATTCATCGCTAAAACAACTTTTTTTGTAGTGCATACACAGATCATCTGATTTTATCCTAAGTGAATGTATGAAGTAATGTGGTAGGTCTTGTCCATTGTAGGAATAATTTTATGTGTCCAGTTCATATATGCTGTTTAGAAGCAATTGGATCCTATTTTCCGTGCTGTTTTGCTTCCTTAATCTCTTTCTGCTCATTGAATGTTGAATGTCCTTTAGGTTTTCGTGCTTGTAATCGAGTAGAGTTTCCAATAGTTCCACCTAAGAACTCTTTTTTTTTTGTGGAAAATTAGAGTTCTTTTCTGATGATTCAAGCATTGTGTAATCTGCAGCTAGCTTTTCCAGATGCTATATATTTGGTTGATGCCATTCAGGGAGATGAGGTGCTCATGAAGGCTTGCAAACCTGCACTCGAGTCTATGTACGTCACCAAAGTTATTCATGACTGCAAACGAGATAGTGAGGTCTCTAACTGGTTTTATTTGCTTTTGCATCTCAACCACTCACATACATCATGACACACGGTTCTTGTGCTTGGACATTTGATTTTGTGGGCTTTGTACTTCCAATTTGGCATCAAATTGAATAATGTTGTGGATACTCAGGTGAGCATTTCGTATGAAATTTCAGTCTTATGGTAGGCTTTGTCTTTCGTTTATGCAACTTGATGCAACAATTGATTGAGGAGGCTTACTTAAGTTTATAAAATTATTGGGAATGACAAATTGTTGTGATTTAAGCAGATTGCTTACCACCTTATAGAGGAGCAAGAAGGAAGGAAGCGATTGCCTGATGATTACATATCTTTTGTCAGCCTTCTTGCATATCCACGTTATGGTGGTATAGTGCATCTTCTGTTATTGCTCGGGCACTTACTTTTGGTTGGGGGGCATACTTTTTTGCTTGTTCTAGGATCAAGAAAAGTACTATGGAACAGAACTTTATGTTTACTCTTGTCTGCCTTCAACTCGTGTGGTTAACGATTATCAGAGTGAAGAATGTAGGGAAGAACTACGGTGCTCTTCTTTGATTTTGTTTGTTTGTGTTGCACAGAATGTGCTCAGAAATATAGAAGAACAAGAGAAGATTGATCTGGAAAATGCACTTGTCACATTCTAAAAAACGAGAAGAGTACATAGCTCTTTTAAAACAATGAAAACTGAATTGCACTAACTTAGTAACTGACAAAAACCACTACACCACTAACTAGCAACAAAATAGAACCGAAAACAACAAACTCCTACTATCTTGTTGACTTAGTAAAACCAAAAAACAACCAACTAACGGACCAGAACAAAAATGACCGAAAATGGTCCTTAAGACATAACCAACATACTCCTCTTTGGCTTAAGGAGCAGAACACATTCCAACCTTTTTCTTCGGTAACTCAAGTCTCGCTTGCTTGCAGTGGCTTAAGTAAACACATCGGCCACACGATCTTACGTCTTGCAATAGAGTAGCTTCACTTCACCTTCTTGTTGCACTTCTCTCAGATAGTAGAACTTGATCTTGAAATGCTTGGTTCTCCCGTGAAAGACAGGGTTTTGAGATATGGCTAGTGCAGCTTGGTTGTCCACAAGTATCTCGGTTGGTCCTTCAACTTCCATTTCCAGATCCTGCATAAGCTTTCTCAGCCATATTGCATGATTGGCACTGCGATGAATGCTAGAAACTCGGCCTTCGCATGGATGAGCAACCACTTCTTGTTTCTTTGAGCTCCAGGTGAAACATCCGGATCCCAAAGTAAAACAAAAACCACTTGTACTCCTCATATCCTCGATCGAACCAGCCAATCATTGTCGGAAAGCCTTGCAACCTGCAATTGTCCACTTTAGTAAACTTGACACCAAATGACTGAGTGCCTTTCAAGTATCTAATCACTCTTTTTGCAGCTACCAAGTGTTCTTCACCAGCACAACTTAGGAATCTTGAAAGCACACCTACTGCATACAGGATATCTGGTCTTGTTGCAGTTAGATACATCAAGCAACCGACTAAACTTCAGTAAAAACCTTCATCGGCGGCTCGGCTCCTTCATCTTCCGCCTTCTCCTTTAGATTCATAGGAGTGTTCACACTTCTACATTCCTCCATCTCAAACCTCTTTAAGATCTCTCTTAGGTATCTTCTTTGACGATGAATACCTCGCCTTTCCTCTCGCTCGCACCTCTATTCCCAAAAAGAAGGACATTAGTCCAAGATCGGTCATTTCAAAGCCGCTTCATCGCCCCTCTCTTTAGTTCTCGCAATCTGCTCTTCACAATCACCAGTAACCAAAAGATCATCAACATAAAGAGAGACAATAGTTACACCTTCCACACCCTTCTTCACATATAGAGTCACTTCACTCAAACTTTTTTTAAACCCAAGTTCTTGCAGATGCTTATCAATTTTACTATACCAGGCTCTTGGAGCCTGCTTCAAGCCATACAAGGCTTTCCTCAACTTGTACACGTAATCTTCCTTGCCTCTAACTACAAAGCCATCAGGCTGCTCAACATATATCTCCTCCACTAGCTCTCCATTCGGAAGGCTGACTTCACATCCAAATTGAAATACTTGCCCATTTTTGTGCGCAAGAATCGCTAGCGGATTCTTATGGTATCCAACCTTGCCACCTTGGAGCAAAGGTTTCGAGTAGTCTACCCCCATACTTGCGCATAGCCTTTGACAACAAGTCTTGCTTTGTACTTATGTATTGAGCCATCAGGATTCAACTTTGTCCTGAATACCCACTTCATTCCAATCACCTTTCTGCTTCTGGGCCTCTCAACTAGATCCCATGTCTTGTTTTTTTCAATCATTCGATTTCTTCTTCCATTAAGACACCATTTCACATCTTCACTTGCTTCCTTATAGCTAGCGGTTCAAGCATAGCAGATTGCATCTCTCATAGATTTCAAGAAGAGATCTAGTGCCTCTCGCAGAACATGATCAATTAGATCCTCGACTTCCACTTCATTTGGTTCAACCCGCAATGGCACTACCTCCTCTTCACCTTGCCACCTTCCACAGACGGTCCCCACTCTTATCTTCCATAAAACTCACATCTCTACACACCACAACCTGGTTGCTAGCAGGATGATAAACTCTATAAGCTTTAGATTGCAAACTATACCCCACAAAGATACATGCTTTTCCTCTTGGATCAAGCTTATCTCTCTTAACAGAAGGAACCAGTGAATAACAAATGCAGCCAAACACTTTCGGGTTACTCACCTTAGGCTTATATCCATGCCATGCTTCAAATGGTGTCTGTTTGTTGAGAGCTTTAGTGGGCGATGCTGTTCGTAAGGAAGACTGCGGTGTTGGCGAACTTCCCGATCGTAACTTCTTAGGGAGTTCTTTTTCGTGTAGCATGCATCCGGCCATCTCCATGATACTTGTTCTTCCTTTCACTCACTCCATTTCTTTGTGGAGTGTATGGCAGCTGATGGTGGTGCTTGATCCTGCATCATCACATATAGCCACGAAACCGCCCGAGGTGTATTCTCCTCCATTGTCGACCTAATTGTCTTGATATTGCCCACTCTCCTTCTCTACTTCTCTTTTGAACCTCAAAAAATCTCATTAACTTCAGCCTTTATTCTTCATGAAGTACACCCAACACATTCTAGTGCAATCATCTATGAAAGTGATGAGGTATTTCTTTGCCGTTCGGTGATTCTTCCGGCATTGGACCACACACACCGTGGATTAGATTGCTGACTTTTCACTTTGGCCCTCCAATTTGACCTCTTGAAAGGAATCCTCACTTGCTTGCCTTGTAAACATGCTCTCCACGACCGATTATTTCCTTCGCAACATAGGTAGCCCCACTTGCCATTTCATTTTTTGCAAGTATTGCAGCCCCTTGCTATGGAAATGACCCAGTCTTCTATGCCATAACTCCTCCTCATCTTGTATACTTTTCATGGCTTCAAAATTCTCATCAACTGGATCAAATGTAAAACACTTGTTCCTCATAGGAATCCTGAAAAGGATGTGACCATTCTCATCTCCTATGGCACACTGACTCTTCTCAAATACAACCTTCAACCCCTTCTCTACTAACTGACCCACACTCAGCAGGTTTTGATCTATCTTTGGCACAAACATAACCTCTGTGATAAGCTTAACACCACCAGGACCTTCAAGCACTACATCACCTTTGCCTTCTACTTCTATGCGTTCTCCATTGCCAATCCTGACTTTAGACTTCACAGATTTGTCTAAATTGCTAAATAATCCTTCATTACCTGTCATATGGTTGGTGCATCCACTGTCCACGAGCCATCCATCTCTAGATGCATTTGAGATGAAGCAGGAGGCAACAAACAGGTGCTCCACTTCACAGCTCTGCAGCTTGACCTTCACTTGCTGTTGCTTGATCTTCTCCTCGCAAATGGCCTCAACATGGCCCATCTTGTGACACCTCCCGCACTTCACATCCGGGTCTCTTCCAACACTTGAAATGAGGATGATTTTTCTTCCCGCAATGCTTGCATGGAACTGCATTCCACTTCCTGTCATATCCACCACTGCTTGAACCTCCCTGACTATGACTATGATTGGCCTCAACATGTCTTCTATTTTGGTTCCATCCTCTTCCCTTTTCTGCACTATGCAGCTTCAGCTTGGCTTGCAGAGCACTTTCGATGGGCTCATTTTTCCTCATAAGCCTTCTTTGCTCCTCGAGCAGTAGAGCACTTAGGACTTCACAAGTTTGATGTCCGAAATGTCCTTAGTGTTCTCAAGGAAGCAATGGTTGCTTCAAACCTTTCGAACCTTTGCAACCAAAACCTTCGAACCAGCCTTTTATCATCTACATCCGTCCCTAGCACCCTTATCTTGTTGGCTATATCAACTAGCCTATCAACAAACTCTTTCACAGACTCATTCTCCTTCATCTGCTGCCTTTCAAACTCCCTTAACAAGTTCAGCACCTTCATTCCTCTCACTCTCTCATCCCCTTCATATTCTTCCTTTAAATAATTCCATATATCATGTGCTGAATCTTTTTTCATGATTCTAGTAAATATGGTCGAGGAGACAGCAGAAAACAAGCAAGATTTTGCCTTTGCTTTTCGGGTTACCCTCTCTTTATGGTACCTGATTTGATTGACAGTTGGGTTGTTGGGTAGATCAGCAACCTCGTAGTCCTCTTCCACAGCTTCCCATAGGTCTGCACCCTCCATGAAAGCTTGCATCTTCACTGCCCATGCCTGGTAGTTGTCTCCATCGAAGATTGGAGCTGTGATGGTTGAGAATGAGGCAGCAGGTACACCAATTTGTTCCATCTTTCTTGCTCTACTTCGAATTTAGCACTCTCTCACAAGTCCCTTAAGATCAATAGTGCTCTGATACCACTTTTGTTGCACAGAATGTGCTCAGAAATATAGAAGAACAAGAGAAGATTGATCTGGAAAATGCACTTGTCACATTCTAAAAAACGAGAAGAGTACATAGCTCTTTTAAAACAATGAAAACTGAATTGCACTAACTTAGTAACTGACAAAAACCACTACACCACTAACTAGCAACAAAATAGGAACTGAAAACAACAAACTCCTACTATCTTGTTGACTTAGTAAAACCAAAAAACAACCAGCTAACAGACCAGAACAAAAATGACTGAAAATGGTCCTTAAGACATAACCAACAGTTTGAGGAGTGATCAAGATACTCATCTGGGCTTCTCACACATCAATGTCTATGGGAACTACAATATGAAATGACATCCAAATTGCACATCATGTGGGGTGTTTTAATTTCTTACAGGCATATCTTAACTCGAGAAGGAAGAAGTTCGTATCCTCCTTAGGCAGGTGAGTTGTCAGTATTTGATTAGTTGTGGTGATCGTGTGGAAGCCAGTTGTTTTTGGCCTTTGCACTCACTCCACCAGGATTGATATCTGGTTCAGTTTTCCAAACTATGAGCTGTGATGCATCAATACTTGACACAAAAATGCTAAATACGCTACAACAAATATCTTTGTTGTTGGAGATTGCTTTGAGCTTTTGCTGCTACCAGTGCATTGCTTTTAGATCAGACCATGCTCAGGAATTATAGTTCTGATATTAAGGCTATTCAACAACAGTGAGTTCAACAGAGAGATTGTTTTATTTTACCTACAAATGTTGTGGCAATCACAATTGTCCCTCTGCAAAAGGGAATTATTAGTTGTTAATTAACTCAGCAGTAGTGTCTACCCTTTCCAAATTCTGCCAAAGAGAATTTTGAATGCTAACTATTATCTCACTAGTGATCTGATCCACTAGACTCACATACTATCAGCTGAGTTACATTATGGAGTTCTTAAGCAGAAGAAGCCAATCAAGAGATGATAATTTTTTTAGTATGGTTCATTAGTTCAGAGTAAATGGCCAGTTAAAAAATAACTCCAGTTTGAACAAATATATTAGTTTACATGTTGGTGATTGTTTCATTTATATGATGGCTCCAGTTGCTCTAACTATGCTCGTGACTACTAATGTGCACCTTTTACATAGGCGCACGATGTGCCCAGTGCAAAATATTCTTTTGCCATTCACTAATATGCGTGTTTCATTTACAGGACCCTAAGTTCTGGACATACAGACCATTTTCTGAAATGATGATACGTGCAGCTGCAGATGATGTTCGATTTCGCAAGATGATGGAGAAACTGAATGCACGATCCTTGTGGTATCTGGCAGTTGGCAGTGCTCTTTATTGTCGATGTTTTTGTATCAATGACAATAAGTATGCTGATTTGCCATCTTTGCCACCGATTCCAGGTTTAAAAATTACAGATAAAAAATTTTTGGACTAGCTTTTGTTTATTCTGTATTTTTTGGTAACTGCTAGATGCATCGTGTGGGGAACTAGTGCTTGCATTTGTTGACTGTCACCCCATCCTTCTAAGTCATTCGAGGGTTTCTGCTGGTATTTAATATGCTCTGAATTAGGATTGAGATGGGGAATTGTTCAAAAGATAGAAGGTTCGTGCAACTTTTTTTCCCGTTTTCAAATTGGAGCAGACATCAATGACAATTTCGATCGTACAGATGGGTGGAGATTTCCAGTGAATGACTTCCTGAGGTGCTTTTTCAGAGCTCAGCAAAGTTTACTTGGATAGTGTAATGGTTGCTTAACGTGACTGGCATAAATCAAAACCACTATTTTCAGGGCCATTAATGTCTTCTTCAAGTGATGTTGCTTTCTACATTGCCTGGTTGCATCAAATTTAAGTTCCAATATTTTTAAAGGTGCAAATGTGCAATATAGAGATGCTACTTTAGCTTAGTACCATGTCTTTGTTGAGATAAGGTGCCACCTTTTAACTAGGCTTGTACAAATTGCTTTGCTTGAGGATATGCCATCTTATGATTCAGTTTTTAATGCTAATATTTTATTTTTCAACATGAAAATAATCATCAGATTTTGTTGTTAATGACTCGGGATGCATCACTTGCAGGTGGCATAGTATTATAAAAACGAGTTAATATGAGAATGTCAAAAGAGTTTCGTACTTTGAATGCTAAAACAAGAGCCTTGACTCGAGGGCTAATTTCAGAGTACTTCACGTGTAGATGACATATCAGCAGCGGAAAATGCTGCAGAGGAGGAAATCGTCTCTGTTCTTGATGTTCCACCCGGAAAGATGGGACGTGTTGTTGGAAGGAGAGGAGCTTCAATAATGTCTGTTAAGGAATCTTGCAAGTAGATCTCTCTCTCTCTCTCTCTCTCTCTCTCTCTGAACTTGTGTGCTATCATGACTCTGTCCTGTTGAAAATACATGTCTGGTTTTCCTTATCGTAGTCTTGCTTTGACAGTGCTGAAATCTTGATTGGAGGTGCCAAAGGTCCACCTGACAAGGTTAGTTGCCAATCTGCTCCATATATTCACCGCAATGTAGTTCAATTCGCTTTAGGGAGAAATCCCATTGAAGCTTTTTGGTATGATCTGTTCTGACAACTTCCTCCATTAATAACAAGCATTGTGCTGTATGTAATTATTGATGCGAGTTTCTCAGGTGGGTTTAATTTCGGTGTAGGTATTCATCATAGGACCAGTATAGCAGGTGAGGAAGGCAGAAGCCATACTGCGTGGGAGAATGATGGATCTGTAACGAGAGACGGCAGTTGCATCGCTTCTCTCATGCATCATCTTCACTATTCATGACAATCATGGCTTTCGCGGATATTGGAATTGGCTGTTGAAAAAATTGTGCTTGTTCTCACTAACTGTATAGTGAAACGCTTCGGTTGCTTTTCTCTTAACACCTTCTCAATCAATATGCATACACAGATTGATTCCAAACTGCACTTCATTTGGCAGTTGCTCCACAATGAGCTAGCTTGTTAATAGAATTTGCCCTTCTATCCAGTTTTAAATCCTGTTGGCATTTTTATTGCTTCTCGAGGTAGTAAAACGACGCTATTCAACGCTACTCATAGATTCGTGACTCCATGCTTTAAAATACGGACACTTTCAGCTGTTTAAATGATGAAGGGCTGTTTTCGATCCGATGCCCTATACATCTAGACTGCCATCACTAGTTTCTTCTTGCTCGGTTGTCTTCTTGCATCTCTTGTTACGATTACAAAAACATGATGGACTCAACAATTGTCCATGGGATTACTACCTTGTCGATCAATGCCACTTTGCGACAGAGTATGGATATGTTTTTAGATTGCCATAGTGGCACTCGCGATTTTCCAAACTAAATATACTGAGAGAGAGAGAGAGAGAGAGAGAGAGAGAGAGAATTCTAACTCCGATATGAAATGTCCAGGCTTATATTCTCATTTTATTGCAAACCTCTAATTCGCTATCACATTCCTCTACTGGGTTGAAACTGAGCAGAGCATCATTAAACTCGGACACTATAGCTGCTCCATAAAACTAATGGCCCACAGAACTCAACAACCATCCAATTCACACAAGTTACCTTTCCACGGCATTCATCGACTCTTAATACTTACAACATCATACCAGAAATGCTGTTCGGTGTCCGCACAGAAGAAACCCCAAACCGTTTCTCTTGAGACAATATACTTTTGGTGAATACTCTCAAGACAAAAAATGAGAAGTCAAACAAGAAAAGGGAAAGAGTGGACGAATTATTTCTTGAAGCTACCATGCTGAGATTGGCTAGCAAAGCTTGAGAAGAAGTCGTCTCCACCGGTCGCTTGTGATGATGTAAAACATGACATACCAAGACCAGTCCCTGTACCCATGGCTCTTCCCATGTAAAATGAAGTTGGGGGACCCTTTTCCCTTTCATCCGAACCATCACTTAGCCCACCAACTACACCCACATCTGCAAGTGAAACCTTCTTGGCTGCAATTTTTTATGAGCAAACAGAACATAGCCATAGTAGTAGGCTTGCAGACACTTCCCAACCACAGTGTGAGTTTGTGTTATAGTACAATAGGCATAAGTTGCGATGTGCCATGGGTGCACGTGTGCGAGCACAAGAGAGGGAAACATCCATTCTACATTCCAAAAACCAAGTACATCATCATTTGGCTGAGCCAAGAAGGTACAACGAGCGAGACATATTTAAAGGAAAAACGTGTGAGGTGACACAAACAATCACAATATGAGAATGAGCCAGGTGACTAATTTTGCTAGAAACAACTTCAAGGTGTTCTTGCTCCCCCAACAGGACACAATGACTTGAAAGAATTCACAGAACTTCAGCATTTGCACAATTTGTATTCCATGACACATAAATTGCTTCTGTAAACGAACCCTGATAATTCGAAGAGATTGCTAATTAGACCAGATACATCTATACCACACATTTATTTTTGTATTTAAGTTGAACGCGGAAGAGTTATAAGATATAAGGCCAGGGAACAACTACAATGCCACAAGACAAGCTTAGATATACTTACGAGCAGATATATTAAGATCAATCAGTCCACGGCTGAGGGAATCTTCCCAAATTCCAGACTTGACATGGAATGCATCCTTCTTTGGTTGTGGATTCGAGATAGCTGAAGCCTTCTTACTTGAGTCACTCATGTTGGAATCATCGACGGGGTTTTGGGAAGGTCCCGCGATGTTGAATCGAACCGAAAGTGAATGAGCCAAAAGGATCGGAGCTGTCAAAATTGTTCGATGGAACAATGACAAATGGATCCACTATAGGGTTAGTGGGACAGATTGTATGGGCTTGGTTTCGGGTTGAGTAACCTGAGGTGGCGCGCAAAGAAGAGGTCAACTGGTGCGAACCGCGAAGAGACGGGTGCGAAGCAAATAGATCCACCTCGATCCGCAAAAGAATTCATATAATCAACACATGCGCAAAATCATCGATGTTAGCTTGTGACCGAAAAAAAAGAGTAGCTGCCCCTAAGAGATCAAATTCTTCCTTGCAGTGAAAGGATAGCAAGAGTGAGTTACAGAGCCAGTAGTAAGCAGCATCAGATAGTCCACAATTTAAAAACTCAAGAGTATTTCACCTTCTTCTCAGATGATTCTACCGAAGGAGGTGCCGAAACAAAACTCGCATCAGAAAAAGGTCAACCTCAGATGAATTTTTATGGAACGAAGAAGCATTAGTCGAAACAGATATTGGTGCATCCAACACATCTCCAATCAAGTCCTGCCCAAAAAGATTCACTTGGTTTGCATTTCCAGCACTGGACTCTGCAAAAATTTAAGCTGACTGTTAGAAGATAGCAAACAGCCTCCAGTAAATTTGGTATAATGTTTCATTCTTTGATGCCATATGCAAAAGATGTCTTACCTTCACAATATTGTTTGCGTACTTCATCACCATAGACACAGCGATGCCACTGTTTACACCCAAAAACAGATTGTTCTATTGATCAATGGTAGTGGTCGAATTCACCAAAAATAATTCCTACTCTCTAAATCACAAATAAATTGTACTTAGGGTGAGCAGAGTCAATCCACAAAGACTGACAAATTGTTAATCCATTGAAAACCAAGTAAACAATAAAAGCGAAATTAAAAAGGGAGGTTTATGCAGAATATACTTAAATAAAATAAGTAAACAGAAATTAAAGAAAATTAGATTATGCAACATCTAGCAAAGGTAATCTCATTCAAGTTCGGAAGTTGATCATTAAGTCAAACGAATAATCTCAAACACTGCAATAGACTGGTTATGGTCGTTGAAACGCTTCTAACAACCTAATCTTTCCTTAATATTAGATTAACCGGACACGCGCCTATGATTAATCCCTTATTAACGAATAATTCTGACATGCGCAAAGGATTCAATTCGCTAATAGCATGAAAAACGAGAAAAACCTAACCCTAGCCAATAAATCACACACGTAACTTATTCAAGCTAGACCATATATTCTCATAATACAACCTGAAAATCTGGTTTTAATCAAGTCATACTATTTGCCATTATTATTAAAACACCTAAACAATTACGGGTTTGGGTATTTCAATTGGCAAACTATCACCCTGTTAATTGCACAACGAGTTCTTATTGTAACAACCAACAAAGCAATGGTAAATAATAAAATAGAGAACATATAAATACTGCAGAAATTAAGAAAGAGAATTAAGTTTAGATCTCACAACTTGAATGAACTTGAACTTTGATAATCCTTTGCTAGATTAAAGAGGAGTTAGCCACACATGGCTACAAAATGCGCAAAAGAGAAAAAAAATATGTTTCTGAATTTTTTGGAGTCCAGTCTCCCCTCCCCTCTTGCATTCAACCTCTTAAATAAAAAAAAAGAAAGTCTAGAAAAAGAAATTCAATCCAACATGGAAAGAGAAAAAAAAAGGTAAAAACTTCTCCATAATGTCCCTAATTAAGAGTCCTATTTAAGTACAAAAATCCTCCGCAATCAGATCTATAAAAAAAAGGAAATTAATGGCCAAATTGTCACGCCCCGAACCCCATCGAGCGCGCGACACACTTCCCTGGTTGATTAATGCGACATCCCAAGGTATCGCCGACCTCACTTATCATTATCAGAGACTTAAAACGACCAGCGGAAACCACAAATACCCGGACAATTAAAACTGGGGTAATCAGGGAGAATACACATATTCCTTTCTCATTATCAACTTATATAATATTCACAATTTACAACCGCCATATACATATGCACACCGTACTATAAACCACCGATATTCAAAAGGATCGATGACCTGGATATCCTATCCTCAAAAATGGTACTCCTCAAAAAGTCTCTTATCAACCCCTAAACCTAACTCCTACGCCCTCTGCTAGGTGTCCACTCTGAGTCTGATTCTTCGTCCTCTGAATCTGAATCCCCCTGGACTGTCTGCTCCTCCGAGGACTCCGGTTCGGCTCCGATCTCAATCGGGTTATTGATGTCACCCGACTCCGCTGGGACTTCTATCTGCTCCTCTGAGTCGGACTCCTCATCAGACCCGTACTCTGGCACGAAATCGGGGTCAATCCACTGCTCATAAGAGGGAATGTACACCAGTTCTTCTTCAGGCACAGCAGGCTCATTCTCAGGTTCTGCCTCGGGTTCCTCCTCTTCTGGTTCTTCCTCTGGGATCGGCTCAAGATCCACATCCATTGGATCGTACCCCGCTTGCGATCCTTCGGGCTCTGGTTCTTGCTCGGCCCCCGAAGACTCCGGCGCTGCTGACGCAAGATGAAGTCCTGACTACGTTAGACTAGTCTCCAAGCTAGTCAACTCGCCGGAGGAGGTATAGCAGACGGGTCCCAGTCCCCAAATCCATCAAAGGGGACGTCAAACCCACGGACGGGTCCAAACTCGTCTACTCCGTCTCGGAAGAACCACGCAGTATATGTGTGGGCCTGCAAAAGGGGTAATCCTATATCTACCCAAACTACAGAGGTATGCTTTATCCAGGTCATATTTTCATCGATCGGAAACTCTACGACGTTGTGGTCGGTGTGCACTGGTACTCCAAAATGCTCTGGTGGCAACGGCGGCGACGGATTCATTGCTCGGGCCGAGGTTCTGAAATTGTTAGTTGAGACAACCATGAGAATACATCTCGGCAAGCACACACCCTAAACCACACCTAGGCTATCACGTACCTCCGGACAATCACGACAAACAACCACACTCAGCTATTACATCGCAGGCACACAATCAATACTTACCTGGGCCTTTCCAGCGTGCAACCTGCACGTTAGCCATAATAACACCATTCCACTCACATGCATGTTCTAGTTTCGTTTCATGCATTCATTCCGATCTCATCATATCTTTTCCACACCACTCGCCAGTGACCCGCGTAATGATACCGCCTCAGGTTCACTGCGACCAACTCATCACAACACTCCAGGGCCCGCGTAATGGTACCGCCT